ACAAATGATATTAGAACTAATATAATAAATTTTTATATATGTTTTATACTTACAGTAGTCATTTTATTTATAAGGTATGCATTATTCAAGGATTATGTAGAAAAATTAGAAACTGGCGATGGCAGCTTAGATAAATTTTCAAGAGGATATGAAATTTTTGGTATTCATATAAATGAAGATAATAGTGTTGTTGCAAGAGAATGGGCTCCTGGTGCACAGGAATTATATTTAACTGGAGATTTTAGTAAGTAGACTAAAATTGTGTGTTAAAGAATTAATATGTCTTAGTCTGTTAACTGTGAAAGACAAATTAACTTGTTTTTTGAGCAATTAACATTTTGAATACAATTACTTGTTTAAAAATTATTGTATTTATTATACTGTTACATTTGTGTTAAAAAATGCAATATGCTGTATTTACTTTTGCTGTGAATTAAATAAATTAACTCATTTTAATTAATTTCTAAATGTAAAAAAAATATATATATACATATACATATACATAATCAATGTTTTGTTTTCACTGATAGACAATTGGAATAGAACAGCTAATTCATATAAAAAGTTAGATTATGGAAAATGGGAATTACATTTACCTCCTAATGCTGATGGTACTTGTCCTATAAAGCATCTTTCAGAAGTCAAAATAATTGTAAAAGATCATAATAATGAATTATTGGAACGGTTAAGTCCTTGGGCTACTTATGTTACACAAAATCAGTCTGAAAGTATGGTGTATAAACAACGTATATGGCACCCATTATCTAAAAATGTATGTGCACAAGTGCATGACATACAATTATCTGCATGGATACATTAATTATGATTAACTTTATTTTACTGTGAATATTAAAACTTTAAAGTGATGTATTTGCATGCAGATTTATAAATTCAAATACCCCAAACCAAAGAAACCACAAAGTCTTAGAATTTATGAATGCCATGTTGGTATTGCAACTCAAGAATTAAAAGTTGGCACATACTTAGAATTTGCTACAAATATATTGCCTCGTATTGTAAAACAAGGCTACAATGCTATACAATTAATGGCTATTATGGAACACGCTTATTATGCTAGTTTTGGATATCAGGTATGTATTTATAATATATATGTTAAAACTAATAAAGTTAATATACTCAAAACAATTTAGGAAAAAAGTAATGTTTATATATAGGGTAATTTTAGTTTTTTGGGTCAAGCTGTAGCTTTGTTCTTTTAAAGAGACTCATAAGAAGTAGTCAAGTGGTTTTAAATCAGACAAACAAGGTGGCCAAAGTGTGGGGTTGTAGGTGTTCAATTATTTTTCTCTATGTAGTTCTCTTAAATATCTTACAGTGCAAGTATATAATGCATTTAAAAAGTATTCTAAAGAAATAGAAAACAAAATGTATCTTTGCTCTTTTGTTTTGGTAGATGATTTAAAAGAAAGTATTAAAATTATTTATTGAACTGTGAGTCCTGAATAACTAAACAATATAAAAAGTGTCAAGAAATGTATAAGAAAATGTTTAAAATGTGAAGGTGAAACAATTAAATATTTGTTATAATTTTCCCCCCAAAAAATGAAATATCTTTTAAAGTATTGAGTTTTCGGTGACCTTATCTTACACCTTACACATGCAGAATGACTTGGGGGATCAAGTTATGGAAAAAAAGCTGTGTGGTTCCATTTAAAAAGAACATGCAATTGCATTTTGCAAGTGTACCAATATACTTAAGAAAAGAAATCGTGTTATAGAATGGTAGGGTTTGTTAAATCATGCAAAACTTTCCACTATGATTCTTTTGTATTTTTACTTAAAACAGAGTTATAGCTCAGCCCAGTTACTAAAATTAAACTGTATGTATATAAAAAACAATATATATTTTACTTTAACAAGGTGACTTCATTTTATGCTGCTTCTTCTCGTTATGGTACACCAGAAGAGTTAAAACAGTTAATAGATGCAGCACATCAACATGGTCTATATGTTTTATTGGATGTAGTACATTCACATGCATCAAAGAATACATTAGATGGATTAAATATGTTTGATGGTACTGATGGTTGTTTCTTTCATTCTGGCAATCGTGGTCAACATCCACTTTGGGACAGTAGACTCTTTAATTATGGAGAATACGAAGTATTGCGATTTTTACTTTCCAATTTGCGTTGGTATATTGACGAATATGGTTTTGATGGATATAGGTATTTATGTACTAAACATTACTTTTGAATATAAGACATACATTGCTAACTTATATGCAATACGTTATATCAAATTTATTCAGATTTGATGGTGTCACATCAATGTTGTATCATTCAAGAGGATTTGGACAAGGTTTCAGTGGCCATTATGATGAATATTATGGTCTTAATGTTGATGTTGAAGGTGTGGTATATTTAATGCTTGCAAATCATATGCTGCATTATTTGTATCCAGAAATCGTTACAGTAGCAGAAGATGTTAGTGGAATGCCTGGCGTTTGCAGGTATTAAATATATAAAATTTTTTAAGATTGTCTTTTTAAATAAATTTAGAAGAAATATATAAAATTTGTTTTCTTTGATTATATTTTAATACATATTAACATATACTTCATTATAAAATACAAATTATTTTGTTACAAATATTCAAGGCCAGTTTCTGAAGGTGGTTTAGGATTTGACTATCGATTAGCTATGGCTATTCCTGATAAATGGATTAAGCTTTTAAAAGAAGTAAAAGATGAAGACTGGTTTAAATAAATTTTGAAGAAATATATTAAATTTGTTTTCTTTGATTATATTTTAATACATATTAACATATACTTCATTATAAAATACAAATTATTTTGTTACAAATATTCAAGGCCAGTTTCTGAAGGTGGTTTAGGATTTGACTATCGATTAGCTATGGCTATTCCTGATAAATGGATTAAGCTTTTAAAAGAAGTAAAAGATGAAGACTGGAAAGTTGGAGATATTTGTTGGACACTGAGTAATCGAAGATGGATGGAGAAAACAATAGCCTATTCAGAATCTCATGATCAAGCTCTTGTAGGTGATAAAACAATTGCATTTTGGCTCATGGATAAAGAAATGTACACTCATATGAGTGTAATAAGTCCACCTAATGCAATCATAAGTCGTGGAATTGCCCTTCATAATCTTATTACATTAATCACACATGCATTAGGAGGAGAAGCTTATTTAAATTTTATAGGTTAGTGTTAAAACAATTGTATTCTTTTATTTCTGTATTAACATTTTTTATTACATGTCTAATATTTTTGTGATAAATTTCAAAATGTATAAATTATTAGGCAACGAATTTGGTCATCCCGAATGGTTGGACTTTCCTCGAACTGGTAACAGAAATAGTTATCATTATGCTAGAAGGCAATGGAATTTAGTAGATGATGAATTACTAAAATACAAATTTATGAACAACTGGGATCGTGCTATAAACTGTCTTGAAGAAGTATATGGATGGCTACATGCTCAACCTGTAATGTTTAAATATATATTCATATTGAAAGATATCTGTAGTCATTGTATTAACTCTGTTAAAAGATTATTTTTAATAAAAGCAAATGTGATTTTTACAGGCATATGTCAGTTGGAAACATGATGATGATAAAGTAGTTGTTTTCGATCGAGCACAACTTATATTTGTTTTTAATTTTCATCCAGTGAAGTCATTTGCTGATTACACTATTGGAGTACAAATTGCAGGAACTTATAAAATTCTGTTATGTAGCGATGATAAAGATTTTGGTGGTGAAAGTCGTGTCGATACTAGTGTGCAACATTTTACTCAACCGAAATCATTTTCTAACTATTCAAATAGTATGATGATTTACATTCCTTGCCGTACAGCTATTATATATGTCCGAGGTAAAACCGCTATAACATTATTTATATCTATGATAATTATATCTATGTAATATCTTATATCTATATATTATACCTATGATAATTAATTTCAATCTTTTAATTGTAGAAACTTAAGTGCTTTTTGGGGTGCAACCAAACACAAAACTAATTTTAGTGTTATAAAAAAGAAAGCTACTACTTTTTTTTTTACCAAAGTTCATTTGAAATATAGTCTTAAGCAAAATAAAAGCAAATAGTATAGAAGGTACTCCCTCCATATAACTGAGTTCAGTTTTGAATTGGAACTCTATCGATCACCAAGTATCTTATATTTCAAAATGTTACAATCTGCTTGAAGTTTACAAACATGATGAAAAGATAAGTGTGAATAGGAATATATAGATAAGTCTAATGACACAGAATCGATTGTTGGTTATCGACAACTTGTTCAGTTCGAATATACATAGTACATTATAGTGGGACTTCACACATGCTCAAAAAAATAGTCTGATTAAAACATTGAATGTAACTCTGGGCCGAAGTCCTCAGCGCTACCCAGGCTTACGTATATACCAACAATCAAAGCTCTTGAAGTTTTCACATCATGTTCTGCGAATTTAACTCATTGACCGGCAATACAATCGAAATAATTGAAGAATAAAAAAAATCAGCGTGATTACGATAAAAAAGGACAATTGTACCAATGTATACAAGAACGCACAAAAATAATATAGAAATGAATTTTGTCCTACATTTTTTCTATCTTCAACTATTTTAAAGGTATAACTCCATCTAATTGTGTGATATACTGCACTCATAGTTTTATGATGAGTTTGGAATGTTTAATTATTAATGTAACACAATTACAAGAAAATGATAAGCAACAATTGAAAAGTGTAAATTATAAAATACTCATATCTGATAATTTAAAAGCATGGAATAAAATTTTATGAAATTTGATATTTGTATATAAAAATGTTTAATACGGCAGTCCAGGTTAAAGGTATTATACTTATACCAATAAATGCCAATAACCAGTAGATACTTTGTTTATAAATAAAAGATAACATGAACTTCATTCAAGAAAACCTATTTGTATAATATGTTAGAATATTGACTTGAAGTATTGTACAAGCGAAAGGACACCGGGTATCTAAGCATGTATTTAACAACTGCGAGCGCTTATCCAACCTTCCTACAATACAGTTGAAATCAAAACACCCTTTGAAGAACAGTGCAAATGTACGGCCTGAAGTCTAACAAATTTCATAAGTAATATACTGTAGAGACATGTTTATCAGATAAGTTTGTACCAATAACTACGTACAATTGAATATAAATTATTGTACATTTAAATACTAAACTTTAGTATTTATAAATGTTTGTAATAAAGAAGCGTATTTTTAAATTTACATATGAATCATTCACTATGTAAAATAATTATTAACACATTGAAGTATTTTTTCTATATTCTAAAACAAAAAATATACAAATTATATTTCAATATTACTAATTACGTTGTAAAAATATACTAATAACTGTTGTAAAATTGGATTACATTTGCTATTAAAATGGCATAATTATGAAGTTAAGCATATTGTCTTATGATTTTTGGGTAGCTTACATGAACAATTAAAAACAATGTTTATTTTCTAATACATTCTAAATTAACTAATTTATTCATTTGTTACATTTGCAAATTCTGTTCCATTTACATCATAATCTTTCATTTTGTTTTCTATGATCCACCATTTACCTAAAAATCCAAAATCTACCACTCTTTCATAGAATGTTGCATACTGTATTTTCAAATAAGGACAAACAGCTTTATACAAAGAACATGTTTCATCATAGTTGTCTAACCAAATTAAGGAAATTATACCCAAATTCATGCATCGTACAATTCCCTCATTGTAACATTGTCCTAACCACTTTACATGATATTCAGATATTGGATTACGTATAGCTTCTCCCACTTGCATTATTTTCATGGTATTTTGCAATAAAAGTTCTTTGAAGGAAGATTCATCTGGATTATATCTGTGTAGGTATACACAGGATGCTAAAACTAATTAAATAAAGCTTTTAGTATTTACACTATATTTAAAAAGCCTTTGTATGATACAAAAAAAAGAGTAAACTTCTTGTTTTTAACTGATAATTAGTAGAACATTTCTTTATTTATTTTGTTTAAATTAAATATAAATATACATACCAGAAACATATATGGATGTTCTTATTGGATGTTTCTTACAATGTTTGGCACTGTCACATAGTGCTTCTTTATAATCTGTACACAAATTTTTCCAGTATATTCCTAAAAATAAAGATTTATTTTCATTAAAATGGGTCAAATTCTTTCAAATATTATTACTTATTATGTAAGATATACTCACTCCATCGTTCAAGAACTGATCCTTTCAGTTCTTTTGGTTCTTCCAAATTTTTTTTCTTCAAAATGTTATTAATAGAATTTCCTAATTTTAAACTAAATTTATTCTTTTGAAGCTGTGTAAAATGTCCATAATTCATGTTTATCAAAGTTGTGGTAATATGCTTAAAATAAATACATAAAGATTCCAAACATACATTTCATATTATAATATGTACAAATTTTACATTGTTTGTAATTGTAAAATTGACAAATTTATTTTAGATAAATATTTTAGTATTCTTCAAAAATATACACTCTTAAGAGCAAGACTACATAAATATTGAATAGTAAATAAATATAAGGATACTAGTGAATAAAACTGAAATATGTAAGATGAATTTAAATAATTTTTACTTACCTTGTCATTATTTCAAATTGATACTATTTTTTATAAAGGTTGATACATTTATAAGAAAATTACATTAAATATTATATACTCCTTTTATCGAAATTTTGTTATACACAAGAGATATAAACATGTTAAACTGATATGTAAGTATTTACATAGATATTTATATGTACAAAATATTGGATGATAAAAGTTATGTTTTGCACATGGATATATTAATAGCTTAAGGACATAACCCAATTTAACTTGGTTTAGATGTATTGTGGAATTTCCTTCATTCCAAGTTAACTCGACCTATTGCACTAAATACTTTAGTTTATTCTAAATATGTATATTTGTGTGGTTCAACGCTTTTGTTTTGTTTTTCCGTCAATCTCTGACTTTTCTAGGAAAAATATCCCAAAATCACTGTCATTCCCTGCAAATTTTTCTGAAAATGAGTAGAATTTCGTAGAAAATGTGCTATGTTTCGCGAAAATTGCCTAGGAAAATCCTTAACAATCCAGAGTACTCTCTAAGAACATCCTAGAATCTTAAGGAAAACTTGCTTGAAATTCTTAGTATCTCTGTGGATTATATATTAGGAATTTCCTAGATGCTCCCTAGAACTCCTGGAGGAATTAATAAATGAATAGAGAAAGAAGATGATAAAAAGAAGGAGATGATCTCTTCCTCCTTTTTACACTCTTCTCTCTCATGCACGCATAAATCCTCTCTATTCTCCCTCTTTTTTCTTCGCTCTCTCCCTTTCTCTCCTCTCTCTCTCTCTCTCTTCATATCTCACTCTTTCTTCTTAACACCCACTTTCTCTCTTCACCATCCAGGCATCGGTGAGGAGAAAATTTCGTCTAGGGATTGTCTGTTAAACTTATCAGTGGATCTGATGGAGACGACGCCCCCTTCTGAGATCTAGATAATTGATATTGTTTTTTCTTTTCTTCTGTGAGTTGTCAGTCATGCCTGAGAACTAGCGCCCTCTCACCGGACAAATTGGAAATTTGGAATGGTGTTACCAACCTGAAGTAAGGAAAGAACATTAGTATATTTTGGGGGAAAATGCACACAAGGTTGTGAACAGAATGTAGCGCGTACATGAGAGTATGGTAACAGGATTTTTGAAAAATATTAAGAGATTTTTAGGGAAGTTATTACAACTTTTAAGGAAAACAGGATAATTAGGACTGCGTAAAGAAGTTCTCTCTGAGCATGAAGGAGTTTACATTCACCTTATAGGGAATTCAATTTATATCATATGTTCCGTTAGCGAGATCGATGGCTTTGCATGATCCTGGACAGTGTATACGGTTACAGTATGACAGAGGTACTCTTGGATAAGTTCTACTCCTGTCTCGGAGTGGAGATAAGTTGTGGAGTACCACACAGGTTTTTCAGTGATTATTTTTAGGATTCTATTTTGCGGGACACGTACAAGTTTAAATGTCGATTTACATGCGTTTCACCAGAGCTGAGTCCCGTACATCAGGATAGAACGGATACAGATTTTATAAATCAGTACATGTCGATCTCTCTTTAAGTGCGACAGCGGACAAATATGCGGCCTGGGGGCCGCTGCAACAATTTAGTTGGATATTGCCTGATAACCTCTTGGAAGTAAGAGATCTCTGTACTCTGGCAGGCTTTCCGTGTCCTGTGCTTCAAACGAATATATCCAATAATTGCAGAGTCGCTGTGTATTTCAACCCCTTGTTTGACAGGGAAAAAAGTAGGGCCCTGTGATAGCAAGTCTTCAGTAGGACGCAAGGTTGCAGTATGCAAGTATCAATTTCCTCTTTCTTGTGGAAATTGATAACTACAGGTCGACCAAGAAAATCTGAAGTTTTTATCGCGCAAGCTTGTGCAAATGAGCGGAAAGCAGGCGGGTACGCTATTCCCACTATTCTACAGTCCTCGACTGTCTCCGCATGAGGGGAAGTTTTGATGTATATAGATAAGTAGTTTTCAACCAGCTGTCGGTAATGTCGCGTGCTGATAAAAGAATAGGAAAGTGAAAAGATTATCTGCTCGCCTTGGTTTCCTACCTGAATTAGTGCACATGATAAACGTTTAATAGTCCCCAGAACGTTAATTTCCAAATGCCTCACATATAATAAACTATTATTGTAAAAGAAACCTCAGGAAATGCATTATATTTGTAATATAATACATATGTATAATATATGTAATATTTTTTATAATTTAGGAAAGCAAACATTTTTTTGTTACTCTTGAATAATAAAAATTATTTTCTATGCTTTGAAAAATTGCTTTTAAGTACAAAAATTTTTGACAGAAATGAAAAAAGCATGCCACTGTAAATAAATCGACAATCACCGTTTCCGCGCCTCGAAAACCGGCACGTGGCTCATTTGTTACCGACTGTTCACGTGAGGTTCGATTGTCGCCTATCGTTGTTCTTAGGAGAGTAAGTACGATAGCCTTACTTTATCGTGATTGGCTGATTATCAACGAAAGCGTAACAAGTTCCCCCCTCCATCACTCATTTCCTGACCCTAACCTCCCTAAACCTTCAGCTTTGCTTGGTCAACTTAAACCTTCTCTATTACTGATTGTGTGTAACGATACATTACACCAGGATATCACTAAACACTGAATTCATCTTGTAGTATTAGAAATGTAAGTAAACATTCCGGTAGTTAATAAAGAAAAAAAATCAGTCACATTGAACGTACTATGTAGCCTTATCAATATTTCTATCATTCCTGACCTTCTATGACCTTGAAGGTCATTTTGCCACATATGACTGAATTTGTCTTGCTCAGTCGCTTTTATATCATATAAAAAAATAATAGTATTGAAAAAATTGAAGATCACTTTGATATCTCAGAAAATTTAAGATATAAACAAAATTAGAATGCATCCATTTGGCAAATCCTATCGAATACAACGCATTTCATAGAAAACATTTTTTTTATAAAATCAATAAACACCGAGTTATTTCAGGTAATATTTCTTATTGACTCACCCGGTATAGTAGACACTTCATATACATATATGTATGTGACAAAGATCTGAAATATCTCACAAAGTATCAATTTTTCTATTATCATACTCTAATAGATACTTTTATACGCAATATATTTCAGTCGATCTACATAAAAAAAAAAAAATGTAGTTCCATTAAAAGAAAGTACATCTGCTTCTTTTATGTGTATCTTTGCACTTACAAAAAAAATGAAACCGTAGGAATATAGATCTTACACTAATTATTTAATCATTTCTTCTACAACTTTTTTTCTACTTTTAACCAAATAAATGATACGACCCGTACGAATTGTATGACTCACTCTGTATATAACACCCATGATATCAATAATTTGCGGAATATTGAATTTTGTCAAACGTATTGTTTAATTTATTGTTTATTGCCAGCGGTTCTAATGCGGGAGCCATTAGGTGAATGCTGCGTGCAATTTCCAAAAAAGTCTACAGTTGATTCTATTATTAAAATGGGAGTGAAAATAAGATTGAACGATTTCTAATTAAAAAGTTACCACTTTTATTTTTCAATTAAGTTCAGATCCGAAATAATAAACTCCTATAATAAATGTCATGGTAACTATAAAATTCACACAACTCGTTATAAATACAAAACCAACGAGCGGTTGCCAATGTGCGTTGTTATAAACATGGAAAAATTAGATATGTCGTGTATTAAATAATTACAAATCATCATCAGATACGTTGTATGTGTAATTGTAAAAAGTTATCGAACAAATTTCATCCTTTCTTCTCGAGTTCATTTCTCGAGGTATTTATCGAACAACGAGAGAAAAAAAAAATAAAAATCTTTCATAACTCGCAATATTGCCAACCGATTTCTGACGCGCATCCTCTTCTTTCCTTCGAAACATTCTCAGCCCCTTTGGAGACCAGTGCTTTCCCTGCTTATGTACTTTGACTCGGTTGGATATGTATAGTACGTGTATGTTACTCGACGAGCAAAGGAACCCGTCGACGGGTTACTCACCGCGGGCGACGCTCCATCGATCGCGTCGCTTGTGAGGGGTGGAATCATGACCAGAGATACTGCTAGAGTGAAAGAGAATGAATACTGGAGCAAGAGAAAGGGGAGTACAAGAGGATCTGTGGTGGGGGGTGGGAGTAGGAGTGGGGACACGGAAGGGGAAGGGAAGGAAGGAAGGAAGGAAGGAAGGAAGGAAGGAAGGAAGAGAGAGAGAGAGAGAGAGCAGCGGTGAAGCCGAACTCCCCCATGTTCAACTCTGCAATGTCGGCTCTTCGAGGGGTGTATTTTATAGTGAAACAGAGGAAATGAGGAGTAACAGAGACAGGTATACAGATAGAAAGAAACGCAGCGACGCAAACACGAGGAAAGAAACAGGAGGCTAGGGGAAAGAAAGAGACGAGGTGGACAAAAGCAGATACGAGGTAACAGGGAGTGAGGTATATGGTAGGGGAGAAACGAGAGACTGTACAAGATATGAGAAAAAAGAAGGAAGGTTGGTTGAGGATATAAGATACTCATGAGAGAATCGGAAAAGATAAAAATGTAAAGTGGTGAAAAGGAAGGAAATTGCAATACGTAAGGAAGAACTGTAAGATATTATTTCGTTTCGAGTGTATTGGAAAAGAAGAGATTAACGCTGAACGGTAATAAATTATTTACACGGAGGCACGATGTATCGTATAATTCGAGTTTCCTTTAAACGTGTAATAATTATTCGCAGCACTGTAGAGCGCTGTTTTTCAACCGGTGTGCCGCCAGATGTCTGTAGGTGTGTCTGAGATTTTTGAATGCAAGTTAAAAGAGATGAAAGAGTAACGGAAAGAAATATTATTTTTTTTTTGTCAATCAGTCGAAAATGTATAGGTACTTCTTTTTGGCAGATCGGCGAAAGGATATAATATAATTTTTGGTGTGTTGTAAAATGTTAGTAATTAGTTTATGTGTGCCGTGAGATAAGAAAGGTTAAAAATCGCTGCTGTAGAGTAAAGCTGCGTCTACACTATATAAAATAACACGTTATACAGCAAAGTT